TGAGATTTCCAATTTTCCTAGATTCATACTTCGTACATTCCAGGTTCCAATTATTAATGGATGTTTGCAGCTGTTTCTTCTCATCTTGAGTCGTGCCATATCAGCAAATGAAGGTCCTAAAAGCTTGACTCCATCCACGTCATTAAGGTCGACTCTACTTTGAGGAGGTGGCTCTTCCCCAGTTGTTTTTCGAGTGCCTTCCAACCTGGGGGCTCATCTTCCAGCACTATATCAGACAATGTTCCGCTGCTATTCATAAGGTTTTCACTGGCTAATTCTTTTTGGAAGTAGACTGCTGGGTCCTTCTTCTTAGTCTCTCTTAGTCTGGAAGCTCGGCTGAAACCTGTCCATCATGGGTGACCCTGCTGGTATCTGAATACCGGTGGTATAGCTTCCAACATCACAGCAACACGCAAGCCGCCACAGTGTGATGAGCTGAGAGACACGTCCATATCTGATTTAAAAGCAATAATTATGCATCTGTGTTGATGAGCACATGGGTATCAAGATGTAATTCATGACAATAGCAACATAAAGTGGGAGAGGAACGGAACTGTGTAGGAGCACATTTTTTGTATACTATTGAAATTAAGTTGGTATTAATCCAAACCAGATTGTTTTAAGTGAAGCTGTTAATCATAATCTCCAGGGCAACCACTAAGAAAAGATGTCAGAAGCATATTTAAAAAGGAAACAGCACAGGAATTCAAAGGGTACACTAGAAAGTATGTATTTAACAAAAATGAAGGCAGTAATGGGCAACTGAGGAAGAGAAATGACATAAGATACATAGAAGAAAAAAACAGCAAAATGGCAGAAGTAAGTTCTTCTTTATCAGTAAATACCAACGGATTAAGCTCAACAATTTAAGGACAGAGATTGGGAGAATGGATAAAGAATATTTAATGATGAGTTTAATATAATATTAGTATAAAAATTGTAAAACCCCAAATGTAGGTTTATATAAAGATTTCTAGGGGGGAAAGAGAGAAAGACGTGGCGGTCTGCTTCCATAAGGATTATAGCCGTGGAAATCTGCTCTGTCCTATAGGGTGGCTATGAGTCGGAATTGCCTTGATGGCAATGGCTTAGGGGGAAAAAACTGTAAAATGAATTACATAGGAAGGAACACCAGAAGTAAATATGTGGTTATTGTTGTTAGCGGCTGTAAAGTCAACCCCTGACTCATGGCAACCCCATGCACAACTGAACAAAATGCTGCCTGGTCCTGCGCCATCCCCATGATCTGTTACAGATAAGACCATTGTGACCTATAGGGCTTTCCCCGGCTGATTTTCAGAAGTAGATCACCAGGCCCTTCTTCCTAG